CCGTTGCTAGAGAGTTATTATGTCACAAGTCTGTTCTATGAGTCAATCTCTTATTTGACCTCACTACAGCATGTGGCTCAAAATGCATGTGCGAATAGGTCGACCTGAATTTGGCTGAGTAAGAAGCGTTGAGTCTCACCACATAGTACTTGAGTCTTTGGCTTTATACCTATTAGACTGGACATTGTTTCGTTGGCCACATTTCGAACCCTAATCAGTTTGCAGCTGTGCCTCTGCTTTCCGTAACAAACCGACTGATGCAGAATTACAGGATAGAATGAAGTAAGCATTTTTTACAGGAGGTTAATTTGAAAAGCATAAAGAAATTTACCTTTACAATTTCAAATCTGAATGCCTAAATTTAAGAGCGAATGGAGGGTTAATCTAGGGTCTCTAATTGAAGCATCGCCACAAAATTTATGGACGGGTTTTCCATGAGCCCTCAACTAGGTATGCCTTCAAACTCGTGCATGCTTAACTCAGCATTAAAAATATAGTGCCAAATCCACTAGTAGTGTGCAGTCAAAACCTAAGCCTAACCATGGCGATCCAGTGGGATTGGAAACTATCGTTAACTGCTTTCATTTTAACTATTTGTAGGATTTTCGGATGAGAGCAATTGTGGCATTATGCAGTCTCTCTACTTTCCCACATCTTGCCTGCAGCTCAGTGGCCACCTTATACCAAAAGAATGTTTTCCGCATGAGCAAAGAAGTAGCGAGACTAACCCTTGAGGGGATTGCACTTTGCCGATGCAATTATCAGTGATCGGCAGGACTTCTTACGAATTGTATGTAGTGAGATGCATGCAATACGAGTTCTCGCCCTTGGATTGTTTGGTATTTGGAGTCTTCTTTGCACTCTAAAGAAGTTATGAGGGGATTCGCTGTCACAGTGCTATTGAACCACGCATTACCTTCCTCCAGCATTTTAACACCTTGGTGCTACGGATATTTGGGGTGGAATACCGTCGGTACTCAAATGATGCACAGCAGTATTTTTTATGGTGTTATTGGTATACAAGCTAGCATTATTAAAGTTGGGTTAGGGCTAGGGTTTAATGGCGACATCACCGAAGAAGGAGTAAAAAATTCATTTAATTCTGGGAATAAAGTAATTCAGAAGGGCAGATTAGCCAGGGGTAAGTTAATACAATCTAGATGTATGCGTGCCTGTGGCGTAAAGCAAAGCAAAATCGGACACAAAAATAATTTTGAAAAAGGCTGACAACCTCTTGGGAGAGAACTCGCTCAAATTGAGGTGTTACTTTAAGAGTGGGGGGATTGCTCAGATTGCGGATTATAGTAAAAGCATCATGAAAACTGATGTTGCTGTTGAAAGCAATTCAGGATCGGACTCTGCTAGGGAGGAAATAACATTACATAGTCGTTCATAAATGTTCTTTCTGTGTCTACAACACAAAAAATCTTCATAATTACAGTTTTTCTTCAGCCAACATTATTAGAAC